GGTGGGATCGCCGGTTATGGGAGACTTCATTGTCTTCCGAATACCGCACCATGGCGCCTTTCCAGGAGGATGAAGCCAGCGTGAACAACTTCTACAAGTATTTGCCGCGGCCACTGGCATGCGAATATGCCCTCAGTGACGTCAGGGAGGCTGGTTTGGTGGCCAAAATCGGAAAGCTCACCGATCAAGGTTTGGCCATGCTCCAGCCCGAGTCTACTCGAGGCCGTTTGCGCTACCTTGTCATCGTCGCAGACTCTACAACTACGTTCCTCACTGAAGGAAATTGGAAGACAGATCTGCTGGCAGACATCAAGGCCAACCGCGGCAATGCCTTCCCACATCATCTTGGCGTTGAGTACATTCCTACATGGGGTGCGAATCTCACGCGGCTCGTAGAGCTCGCCGTGGGAAAAGTCACCCAACTGGAGCGTGAAACTGGCGCCAGTGGTCAGGTGAGCATTGACCTCATGATGATCTGGAACGGGAACGAGTTCGTCGGCGAAAGAGGTCTGTTTTTGGACCCAGGCTTCAAGAGCAAGACGGAGTGGCTTCGTGGTTACCCGCACATGGCAAAGGGGAGCTGGGAGTTCATTGGACCAAAGGTTCTCCGGGAGATAGGCAAGTTGGCGGATCTACAGTCACGGGCGTCAGTGGGTACTGTGCTGCTCACGTCTGCGACCGACGCTGCCAGCTACTGCCTCCCGCGCGACTGGGGTACCATCATGGCGGATTTGCTCGACTATGCCGCCCAACTTGGGCTGGCCGTCAAGCATTTCAATACGCCTGCAAGCCAGATCCGCAAGTTCGATCACTTTCACTTCCAGGAGGACAGCGCCTATCGTTTGCAGCTGTTGAGGTGGTTGGGTTTTACCGCCAGGATTATGGTCCTTCGTCACCAATGCTCCTTCTTCAAGGAAGCCGACATCGACCTGATCCTGCAAAACTACGGCCACGTCTCAAAGCCTAACGTCAAGTTCGCTGTGGACGTGCAGGTGGAGGAGAAGCTCCTGAATCACTTCCGTAAAGGAAGAGTAGCGCCCACATATCAGCCGCTTGTCGAGGCTGACCCGTGGGACGACATCTACTTCCAAGGACCCCAGGAGCAGTTCCCCGACACCGCGCCGAACCACTTTGTCCACCGGGACTTCAAGGACCACGTTCACCTGGGAGATGGGGAATATGTTACCCGCGAGGACTACGACGAGATGATCAAGAAGAGCGAGGAAAATGCCCCCCGTCCAGGGGAGGCCGTCGTTGTTCCGTCATCGTCGTCAACGGCGCGGGAGACTAAGGAGAAGCTTTTGGCCAGGGGGGAGGTCTACAGTCGTCAGCGGACCGACCCTGAGTCCAGTGCCCCCAAACGGGCAAAGAAGGGCCCACACGAGGCTGACTACGACGAGCCCATCAAGTCCGGCTACTACACAACCGATGACGATTGGTGCCTCGTCGACATGCTGGGCCTCGATTGGGACGCAATCCATTTATGCCCACCGGAAGGTGAGGCCGAGTGGGTTGACATCCTTCAGGACGAGATGCCGAACTTCAAGTATGTCAACATTCCCCAGCATCACAAGACTGCCTTGTCCGGCATTGTTCGTGGCAAGATCGTCCCGGGCCTGCAGGGCGATGGATTGTGGTGCTCTACGAGGAGGATTCTCGAGGCCTGGAACAAGAAGACGAACAAGGATTATGGCCTCGGGATGCTCCTCACTGTCGTCAAGAACGACAATCGCAGCAGGTTCCAGCTGCGAATCGACCGCAACCACCCCCTCGCCGAGTACTACGGCCTAGGAGGGTACCCTACCCTCATTAGGGCGAACCAAGGCATCTCCAAGGATGCTATGAAAGGGGTGCCCGACTCGATCCTTGCTGAGGCCTGGTTCAGCATGATCCCAGAAGCAGAAATGGATGTGCATTCTGCCACCTGGGAAGGTCGGCCGGTTTTGCCCCTGGAGAAGATTCCACGCAGGCTCTACCACCGCACCTACAAGGATCGAGCCTTTGCCATCTTGGACTCCTGCTTTATCCCCGGGCACCACACCGCGAATGCCTTTGTGTATTTTGCCGACCGGGAGGTAGGGCCGGGAGAAAACGTCCCTGGCGTGAGGAGCGATCGCCCCGTCGAGATCGTCATCAACACCATGGAGGCCCTCAGTCAGGGCGCCGGACTGTTTTACTCCCGATCAGACGGCGTCCTCTGCCGAGAGGCTATCTCCGGGTCCACGGTCCTTTATATTCGTGACACAAGGACCGATGAAATTTTGTGGTCCGCCACGGATGGGCCCGAAGGACGGGAGGAGGAAGAGAATGCCCCTCAGGTAGAGGAGGCCGAATCTTCCGGAAGTATGGTTGTTGAAGCCGTGGGACCTCTCCAAGAAGCACAAGAGGAGCCTGATGTCGAGCATGAAGAAGCCCCGTTGATCAAGGAGGAGTTCGATGTTCCCATCCTTGAGGAGGTCGAGAGCACCGTTCCTGAACTTCCACATCTACGCGTTCGCTTCAACACTGACGCCGATGTCATCGAGGTGTCACCTTCAGGAAGGAACCGTTTGACTGAAGGTCAGTTGCAAGTGGTCCCTGATGAAGGAATGGCTACCCGCTCTACGGCACCGGCAACCCAGGCGCCGCGTCCTGGATGGAACAGGGGAATCACGCAGGTTCAGTGCGTCAGTTGTGGCAAGCTCCGTCTCGAAGGTCAGCACAAGTGCTTCCACTGTGGCTACTACGTCACCCGTGGGGCCACCCAGAGCGCCTTCAGAATGTGGATGGCGCGTGAGCGCTCCCATGTCTTGGACGCCCTGGCGGAGCAGCTTGGGAAGGGCCTTTGGGAGTTGGATGCCGCGAAGATTCGCCAGGCCGCTGGAACGCATGATTTGAGGGGACAGCAGAGCGTAGATGGCCGAGCTATCATGTTAGCACGCCAGAATCTCAAAGGCTTCATGAAGCACGGCTACACATCGATGGTAGACAAGTTCGACCAGGACGACACCTACGCGATCCACGCTATCAAGGGCGGCTGGACGAGAAGGCGGCTCACTATTCAGGACTGCGTGGCATGCGCTTATCTTCCCAATCAAGGTCGTTCCCGCGAACAACGTGAGTTGGGCTACGGCTCCAACAAAGCCTGGGAGAACAAAAAGGTCAATCATGAGGGACTGGCTCGCATGGTGTTCTTCGACAAGAATGCCGACGATCTCGTCCTGGCCGGCCTCATTGACGACCCCAACCTCGAACCTATGGGCTACGCTTGGCTCGGCAACTTCATGGGCGTGAAGGAATTCGCCCGGACAATCCGCGTCACCCGTGCGGTTTCCCACATCCTCACCTTTACGGAGGGCATCATTGGCATCCCGGACTTCGACGAGGAAGAGCATCTGGCAGTCTTTTTGGCCGAGATCCTCTCTGAGAATTATGGTGGGGCAAAGGAGACGTGCCGAAGGATGAAGGAATCGGCAGAAGCGTCCCGGGCCGCTCAGGCGCGGGCGGATGCAAGAAGGACGTCGCAAAATGCCCCCCGTTTTGGGGAGGCCGATCGTGACACGAATCGTGGCTGGTCGTGGAGCGACAACTCTTGGTCGCAGGGCGACTGGCATTCCTCAAGTTCCTGGCGTGATCGCCAGTGGCAGGATCAAGGATCCTGGTGGAGCTCAGGGAGTCGCACTACGGAGCACTCCCGTGGACCTTGGCGCTACGACCATCGAGATCGCAGCTGGTGAGTCCTGAGTTCCGCAATTCTGCTGGAGTAGCTTAGCATCTTGACCGTGACGCTCTGTTTTCCTTTCTTTTGAGGTCGGTGCTGAGTGAACCACTGTTTTGCACGAGCCACCTTTGTATCCCCGCCAGCGTTTCAAATTTCTTAAGCTGGTGCGCGGTGATCTGTGGCGTTGAACCTGAATTAAAACTCGGGTGAGCGCACTTTGAACATACAGTAGAGGAGCAAAACGCAGCACGTAGTGCTTGCCGTGGATTCGTTGACTGCGTTTCAGCATTCTCACGCTTCAACGAGGGGGGTGTATTTTATATCTGTGCATTCCCTCCACTTTTGCTTCCATGTATGTTGCACTTACCTGTGACGCTCAAGCCCTCTGAGTAAAAAGGTTAGGCGCGCCCCTGCTCATGGCTTAACGGATAACAACTGGTGGATTTCCCAAACTATAGTTCTAGGGTTTAGGGGTTCTAGGGTTTAGGGGTTCTAGGGTTTAGGGGTTCTAGGGTTTAGGGGTTCCAGGGTTTAGGGTTTAAGAGGGTTCCAGGTTCTAGGGGTTTTGTTGGAAGCCCTGGGTCATGAAGTGTAGGGTACTACCCGCATCTTACGCTGCCTCAAGCACCCTCACCTTGAAATCAGCCCAAAAAAAGGGTCTAGGGCTTTCCTGGCTTAGAAGCACCCTAAACCCTAAACCCTAAACCCTAAACCCTAAACCCTAGGTGTCCTCTCCCTTGCAGCTCCGCGGTGCTTCGCCCCTAAAATGTTGCTCTAAACCCTTAACCCTTAACCCTTATCCCTAAACCCTAAACCCTAAACCCTAAACCCTAAGCCCCGAACTGTTGAGTTCAGTCTCGGGCCTTCTGACCCAAAAGCCCTTAAATGTCAAAAAGTTGTTGAGGGTTTAGGGTTTTAGGGTTTAGGGTTCAGGGTTAAGGGTTTAGGGCTTAGGGTTTAGGATTTGAGGTTCCTGACGCGCGAACAATCCACCCACAAGACTGGGGAAGTCATAACCTCAAGGCTCAGAAGCTCTTTGCTCCCAACGGCTTACTGTTGGTTAGTAGGGAATGACGGAATGAGGTACCCTAGATAATCCCTTAAAGGGTCTATTTAGGGAGATATAGGGTGCCTTAGATCATCCCTCAAAGGGTACATATATAGGGGGATATAGGGTACCCTATACCATCCCTTAAAGGGTATATATAGGGGAATATAGGGTACCCTATATCATCCCTTAGAGGGTCTATGTACCTTATTCCCTGCCTACTAAGCAGCAGCAAGACGGCCGCCGACTCAGGCAGTGATGAGGACAGCCACGAGGCCGCACCGAATCGACATGGGGTTTAGGGTTTAGGGTTTAGGGTTTAGGGTTTAGGGTTTAGGGTTTAGGGGTCCAGAGCCGATCGCCTAAAAAAACCCTTAACCCCAAACCTCAGACCCTAAACCCTAGGCCCTGGACTAAACCCTAAACCCTCAACCCTAAAACCTAAACCCTAAACACCTTCCCGGGCTTTTGGGGGGCGGGGGGGGGGGGGGTGCGGGAATCTCCGGGGTCTGATTGGTGTGTAAGGCTTAAAGGTCTAATCTACACAAACTACCGCGTTTGATGATTTATTGTTGTGATTTTGTCGTCCAGCCCCGTATATGCCCGTGCGTCATGGACAATCCGGAAACGAGAACGCAGAAGGAGATACTATAGGGGGTCGGAATAATTACTATTAGTATTCCCTTGTGATGCCTCTGTAATTTTTCGATAATAACCCCCAAAACCGTATTCTAATCATTCAGGCCCCCGATATTGAGCCATCACAGAGTTCAAGACACGCGACTGTCGACGAGCTGTACGCATTGTTATCTGGTTCACCAAAGGCTTCAGAGTAGGCCCTTATTCCCCTTTCTTTGCCTGGGTCGAGTTCATAGGCGCTCGGCTGCAACCGAGCTGCGACAGCGACCCCTGTTAAGAGGTTCAAATCTGCGTTCGGAGTTAGGGATGGGCTATCGGGTCAGGGCCTACCCTGAACCCTAAACCCTGAACACTGAACCCTGAACCCTGAACCCCCCTGAACCCTGAACCCTGAACCCTGAGCCCTGAGCCCTGAGCCCTGAGCCCTGACCCTGAACCCTGAACCCTGAACCTGAAACCCTACCCTTACACAAAGACCCAGAAATAGGCCTTGTCAGTTTGTTGCCTATTGCCTACCAGACGTAGTGTCTCAAGTTTGGGGAGGGGTCCAGGTCACCAAGTAGACCTTATTTGACCATGTACTGCAGACCATCCCTACGAACGGCGCAAGAACCCCCAAAAACAAAGATATCCTTCCTTATAAGATCTTATAAGGCTAATAGCGGCTAATATAGGATTTTATTGTTCATGGGTTTTTTTTTGTGGGGGGGGTTCTTAAGCAAATAGTAGATCCGAGCTGTTTCCTGGCCACGTGCAGGAGGCAGGTGCCGAAATTCCGGCAGCCAAGATGCAGGAGCCTGCGGAGGAGGAGCCCTAAACCCTAAACTGCCACCCCTAAGCCCTAAACCTAACCTTAAACCCTAAACCCTAAGAGCACTAACCTAAACCCTAAACCCTAGGCCCTAACCCTAACCCTAACCCTAAACCCTAAACCCTAAACCCTAAAACCCTAAACCCTAAACCCTAAACCGATGCAGGAGCCTGCGGAGGAGGAGCGGGAAGACGCGCGTGAAGACGAGGATCCTTTGCAGCGACCTTGGGGTGCACCCGCTGCCCCTGTGGGCGTTTGCGACATGAGGTTTTAGGGTTTAGGGTATAGGGTAGGGTTAGGGTTTAGGGGTTAGGGTTTAGGGTTTAGGGTTTAGGGTGTAGGGTTCAGGGTTCAGGGTTTTAGGGTTTAGGGTTTAGGCCCTTGTTGTTTAAGGGGATCCTACTATTTGGGGACTCTTTTTAAGGGGTCCTTTATTTTCGTAAACCCCCCTGTGATTTATAACGCCTAAACCTACATTTCTTACAATCCATCCAATATTTTGGGCGGTCCCCTCTTATAGTGAAGAGTCCTTAATAGGGATTACACATGGGGGTACTATAAGTAAAGGGCCCCCTGAGGTGACATCTCCTCATGTTCATGTTTAGGGTCTTAAAGGTTTAGGCCTTAGGGTTTAGTGGCGCACAGGCAGGCCGTGGGGATCGTACTACTTGGGGTGTTTGTAGCCCAGTATTTTAGGAGGTGCGGAGGGCAACCCTAAACTAATGAAACCCTGGATTTGAGAACAATCTGCCTGCCAGCTAGCCTGGGATGTTTCCTTTTTTTAGGGTCTAGGTGCCCTTATAAGCCCCTTAAAATTAAGTTATGTGGGTTGGTGGTCTCTGTAAGTAGGGTTTCTGTTTTATGGGGCCTTCTATTCGGGGTTCTTACTAGGTTCTCTCGGGGCCATATCAAGGTATAAGGGAACAGCGAAAGAGGCCACCGGCCTTCATAACCTTTAAACAAAAAAGGCACCCTTTTATTTCTAGGTTACTCTTTCGCCCTAAACCCTAAGCTAACCCTAAACCCTAACCCTAAACCCTAAACCCTAAACCCTAAACGGTTCCTCTTGGGTCTAGTACTTGAGGCCTCCGCTGGTGGCGGCCTGCGAATCGTGCCACGGCGACGCCGCGAGGACCCAACTCACCTAGAGTCTAGGGTTGGGGCTTTTTAGGGGGGTTAAACCCCTAGCCCTAAACCCTAAACCCTATCTAAGCCCTAAATAAACCTTAACCCTAAACCCTAAGCCCTCAGCCCTAGACCCTAGACCCTAGACCCTAAAAACCTAAAAACCCTAAACCCTAAACCCTAAAACCTAAACCCTAAACCCTAAACCATCAGGCTGTCAACTCCCCCTCAGCTACATCACAGGCTACTGCAAAGCCTTGCTATCCCAAAACCCTAAACCCTAAACCCTGAACCCTGAACCTTTCTTGACCTCCGATTGTAGCTTCGTTTTTGGGTTTGGGTTAGGGTTAGGTTTAGGGTTTAGGGTTTAGGGTTTAGGGTTTAGGGTTTAGGGTTTAGGGTTTAGGGTTTAGGGTTTTGGGTTTAGGGTTTAGGGTTAGGGTTCACAGGGCACAAGGTTAGTTCGGAAAGCTCGCTACCCAAACCAGGAACGACAACTGGGGGGTTCGAGGTTGAGCTCCACTTCCAGCACCCCGAACTCTAAAACCTAAACCCTAAACCCTAACCCCCTAAACCCTAAACCCTAAACCTAAACCAAAACCCCAAACCCTAAACCCTAAACCCTAAAACCCTAACCCTAACCCTAAACCCTAAACCCTAAACCCTAAACCCTAAACCCTAAACCCTAAACCCCAAACCCTAAACCCTAAACCCTAAACCCTAAACCCTAAACCCTAAACCCTAAACCCTAAACCCTAAACCCTAAACCCTAAACCCAACAGGCCTTGAGCTCCGAGGAAGAAGACGAGCCAAAGACGGCCGCATCAGGCCAGGCTTTTGAATTACAGGGCTCGCCGTCAGTAGGGATCCGAAGTATGGGCCCTTAGTTGGGTCCCTAAACCCTAAACCCTAAACCCTAAACCCTAAACCCTAAACCCTAAACCCTAAATCCTAAACCCTAAACCCTAAACCCTTATATACACTATGCATAATCAGGGCCCATACTTCGGATCCCATTTACATCCCTTTACACAAGGGGTAAGGGACCATACTGGTGATCGGGTTGTAGGCTTTAGGGTTTAGGGTTTAGGGTTTAGCTAGGGTTTAGGGTTTAGGGTTTAGGGTTTAGGGTTTAGGGTTTAGGGTTTAGGGTTTAGGGTTTAGGGTTTAGGGTTTAGGGTTTAGGGTTTAGGGTTTAGGGTTTATGAGGGCGTTTTGAGGGCTATGAGGTTTGACAGGGCTTTTGGGAGGGTTTTGTGAGGGTAAGGGCTGTTGGTTGTTGGGGCTTAGGTTAGTTGGTTTCTTGGGGGGCGGGGGTGCCCGGGGTTTATAGATTGTAGGGTCCAGAGGTTGTCAGAAGGCGTGTTGGGCTTTCGTAGGCATGCGGCTGCAAGGTGTGTTGGGTGTGATTTTTGTTCTTGCGGCCTTGGGGTAGACCTTGCCATCCAGGTTGGTTGAAAAGCCTTTGGGGACTTGGCATGTGTAGGGCTTTTGAAGATTTAGGGCTTGACCCTAAACCCTAAACCCTAAACCCTAAACCCTAAACCCTAAACCCTAAACCCTAAACCCTAAACCCTAAACTGCCAGGGCTTACGGTTCGCATCCTTCTAGGACGAGCTGCACAGGTTCAGTCCAGTGCTTCTTTGCAATTGCATTGAAGAGACCCCGATACAGATCCCCTAAACCCTAAACCCTAAACCCTAAACCCTGAACCCTGAACCCTAAACCCTAAACCCTAAACCCTAACCCCCAAACCAAAAAATCATGCCTCAGGCCCATATAGGCGTCTCACAGAATGCTGAGCCCTGAGCCTTGGCCTGCTAGAAGGTCCTGAGCCCTAAGCCCCCAAACCCCTAAACCCCTAAGCCCCTAAGCCCCTAAACCCCCAAACCCCTGAGCCCCTAAACCCCTAAGCCCCTAAACCCCGAAACCCTAAGCCCCTAAACCCCTAAACCCCTAAACCCTCAACCCTCAACCCTCAACCCTAAACCCTAAACGCTACACCCTAAACCCTAAACCCTAAACCCTAAACCCTAAACCCTAAACCCTAAACCCTAAACCCTAAACCCTAAACCCTAAACCCTAAACCCTAAACCCTAAACCCTAAACCATAACCCCTAAACCCTAAACCCTAAACCCTAAACCCTAAACCCTAAACCCTAAACCCTAAACCCTAAACCCTAAACCTAAACACCTGAACACCCCGAAGCCCTCAGCATCTTGCAGTCTGCAGGGACAGCGCCCCGGCCAAAGATGCAGGGCAAGAAGAAGGCTCGAGAAACCTTCGGTTTAGGACATTGGGGGGGGAGGGGGGGGGGGGGAGGGAGGGGCGATTTTTCATGGGTTGTTCTGAGTTTCATGCAATTTGGGAGAGCGAAATTGCTTCGGGATGTTTGGTTGTTCTGACGTCGGGAGAGCTTGCGAAGACGGTGCGGGGTGAGCAGCACGATTGCAAGATCTTGCCCCCGCGCACGATTGCATGTCATGCTTGATGGTGTATTCTGGAGTGTGGAGCAGTCCCTCTTATGGTTGAAGATGCCCTACTTACTTGTTCAGGCATGCCAAGTACCTTCATCCCTGGGTGTATGTCAGCTCAAGCTCCAGATGTGAGAGATGGCTGGGGAATTCCTGGATCCAGTGCCGGGTTTGGTGCAACGGGCCTGTGATGCCCTTGCACAAGCCTTCGCGGCGACATGTCCAGAACACCTCTCGGTCAAGCAGAGTGACTGGTGCGTGGGTGCGCGTGCCTGCCACCAGCAATGCATGCTCAAAGCATGGTACCATGAGACCGGGGACCCCATGTTTCAAGAACGCAGTAGGGCGTGCGCAGGCCGGTGCATGGCTTGGGACCGCTGCAGGTGGCCGAATCCTGACGCTGAATATTGGCGGGGTCACTGGTTTACCCGCTCGGAAGAGGTTGACATGCGAAGATTGGGCTATCATGCGCAGCACTGCCCCCTCTGGGCCCATCGAAATGTAGCAGAGCAAATGCACATGCGATGCCAAGCCAACGTTTTTGAGGAGAGTCAGGTGGTGTGGATGTCGGCTGCACTGGAAACACTTTCGGCCGGCGTGGCGATGCTTTCAAACTCCAAGCCCACTTCCAGCGACCTTTGGCAATTTTCCCTCCGCATCGAGACCATGATCCATGTACCTAGGATGCCCAGTAGTACCCCGATTCCCTGTTTGGGGGTTTAGGTTCCCTTATACACCCCTTTAAGCAAATAAATGCACCCTGTTTAACTAATTCCTAGGTTGCTGGGCAATCCGGCAGCCTAGGTACTTACTCCTGGAAAGCTGGGCACGGCCTGTCGCGCGCGGCACCTAGTGGACCCTTGGTGGACCTCCTCCCCACGAAGTTATGCATGCCCCAGGCGTGATGCAGTCCCCGTTGTTGCCAACACGCTCGCCTGCGCCCGCGCGGACCTGCAAACCGCCTTCGAGCACCTTTGCACGGCAAATGTTCTCGGGAGCCTCTTCGTCTTCAAGTCCTTCCGGACAGCATCCTCCTCACTGGCCGCAGCCCCGGTGGGACTGGTGCTTACCCAGCGTGACGTTGAGCCTGCAGAGCAAGATCCTGAGGATGAGGTCAGCTTTCCAGCTGTGATACAGTATCTCGGATGACATCAGCAGCAGTATACGTGCAGGAACACGAGGAAATTAATGTTGGACTCGCTTTAGTGTGGGCCCCCCCCCCCCCCCCCCCCAAAAAAAAAAAAAAAAAATGGGGTTTTCGGGGATCCTTAATAATGTGGGATGGGGCTGGGACAGGGGCTGGGGGTAGGGCGGCTAGGGGTCGAGGGTTGAGGGGAAGCCTTGAAGCTCGAGGGTCTAAGCTTTCCAGGCTTTGTAGCTCCACGGTCGCCGGGGCTCCGCATTAATGCGGACCACCGAAACAACTTGCTAAAGTGAATCAGGGCAGCTCGTGGGCTACTCCCTTGGAACATTGTTTGGGGGCCTGTTGTGCAATGAAATTTTACAAGGAGTCTAAATAAGGCTGGACACCAAAAAACCCGGAGGTTCTTATTCAAAACCTTTTTTTTAGCTTTTGGCTCCCCGGCCCCCCGCCCTTCAACCCCAGCCGGGACAGCATCGCATAATTGTGAGCCACCCTAAACAATGGGGGGTTCTGTATAAGATTTTCGGAACATCGCATAATAGCGGGCCCATCCACTAAAGCGGGTGCAACATTATATGGATGATTTCAGATAGACTATGCAAAAAACAACAGCCTGCAGCACGGATGGCTAGGGCAGCCATACCGTGCCTTACCCGACCATGTTGAAGGCCAATTTGGTAGGGATGTCCAGCACAAAGACCATATTTGGTGGTCTGTTTTAGTCTTCGTGGTTTTGGGCAAACGACCGGGGGGGCCGGGGGGGGGGCAAGGAAGGGTAACCACAGGAGGTCGCCACATGCCCACTTCTCCGCAGGTCGGTAACTCACGAAGACCCGCCGGCAATCATTCCCGAGGATGAGGCAAGAACCTTGGTGACAATACAAGAGGCAGATTTCGTGCAGCGCATGATCGGGGCGGCGCCGGCGGCCGTGGAACAGACCGGAGATTCGATCATCTGGGGAAGAGCTTCTCGTCTTGTGGGTTAGGCTAGGTCTCGGGGTCGGTTTGACTTCGGAATGTGGGAAACTGGGGAGCGGTTGTCAACGGAACTTTAGTTGTGGATTGGGTGAAGCTTCCTTTCTTCGGTAGCCCATGTACAGCCTGGTCGTGGTATCATGTTGTGCCGAATGCTTTGATAACATGGGCTTAGCTAGTTAGCCTTCCTGTCGTCCGAAATCTCGACAGTAAGAGTCGTACGCCCTAGTGCCGGAGCAACCCCCACCGCACCTGTTTCAGAAATCTTAACCCTAAACCCTAAACCCTCCCCTAAACCCTAAACCTTAAACCCTAAACCCTAAACCCTAAACCCTAAACCCTAAACCCTAAACCCTAAACCCTAAACCCTAAACCCTGCCCTAAACCTTAAACCCTAAACCCTAAACCCTAAACCCTAAACAGCAACTAAGGTGAATCGAAACACCGCAGAGATGTGGAATGAGTTTCTGACCGGGCCTTCCCTGCGACGCTGCCGCCATGAGCTGGCTGCGTCGGGTTATGCCATCCGGACGCCCGAAGGCTCCTTGATGCTGGTGCACCCTTGGCAGTATCTTTGTCATAGTTGGGCAACATTTTTTTCATTCTTTAAGGATACTTAAACCCAAAAAGGAATAGAAGTTTAAGTTTTCAAGACTATCCCAACCGTGAAGTAGGTATGCAGACGTAATGCGGGCTGTGGTGGCCGAGCAGTTGACAGCCTCCGACATTATATTCTCCGCAAGCATGGAGTACTTGGTCGAAGAGGCGTTTGATCGTGTTCAGGGACAGGGCGCGTGGATGAGAAGCCAGCAGCCACTCAACATGATTGAAGGTGGAAGTTCCTCTGCGCAGCCAGGATCGGTAGCCAGTGCTCTGCAAAGCCACTCGGGCCCTAGCAGCTCTTCGACAGAACTCGCCGGCCTACTTGAAGTGAGGCGCACCATGTTCGTTTGGGCCCCTTTCTCACCCGATGGGCCAGCCACCGCATCAACAACAGATGCCCATTCCGGAGAGGGCCCCAATCCACGCCGTTCCATCCATCGTGTCTCCGCAGGTCAATAGCCTGACACAAGGAGGCAATGCCTGCTTGAGTTTTGTTTGGGCGACCTGGCATGCTTCTAACAAAAAGCACTTTCCCTCGACTCGGTCTTGTGTTGTTGGAGCAGCAGGCAGGTCACCCACCATGGTGTCAATGCGTGCTGAGGATAGGTGAAGCAGCTGTGCAAGTCCTGTCCACGCAGTGTGCAGACGACCATGGAGGGCAGCCAATCGGGTCTTTCTCTCACAGAGGTTTAGCAAGCACGCAATCACTGAGAGACTGCCCTGTACTGCACCACTGCAAATCTAATGTTTATCACAGTGCTCATGTATCCATCTCATGAAGTGCTAGCCTCCTGGCACGGGCATCCTAGGAGCCACAACAAGTTGAGAAAATCAATCCCACCCGAAACATTGATCCGTAGAAAGACCCGAAGGAATGCGAAGCCTTGAGGTAGCGCTCACTTGTACAGACCCTCGCTTGAAGCCAAAGCACTTACATGTGTGAAACGCGTGGTTTGGGGCAGCCTTTCCGACCGTCTACTTCAGCTTCCCGAAGATAGAGCCCTGGGAGGATCCCTAAATACCAGGAGCTGGCGACATAGCTGTGGCCCGAAATTGCCCTGAATCGAAGAATTGTCCAAACTAGGATTCCCTCTTCCAAAAATACCGGAAGCATCCGGAAACCCTAAATCCTAAATCGTATTGAGTCTGAACAATTTGGGGACCCCCTTGATTTGGGGTTCTTTTAAAGATTTGTAGTATTTTGGAATATATCAGGGGGACCCCTATTTTCGGACATCCCCATTTCTACTGTTTCAGTCACTGAGCCACGAAAGGAACCAAAGTCTCCTTGTCGAAGCCCTCCTCGCTGGCGAGTCCATGAGGGGGTTCCCCACCTTTTGGAGGGTTTTTTGTGTTTGGGGTTTAGGGTTTAGGGTTTAGGGCCTCCTTGCCCTGGTAGCTCAGGCCAGGGATTCAAAGTGCCCTAAGCCTAAAGCTTAAATTGGCCCTCCAGAAAGCCCCTAAGCCCCAAACCCTAAACCCTAAACCCTAAACCCTATACCCTATACCCTATACCCTATAAACCCTAAACCCTAAACCCTTCAGCCTGGTCAGGTGAAGCGGCTGCGTGGGAAGCGCGGCGGTGCTAAGCACCGACCCGGTTGAGGGGTTTAGGGTTTAGGGTTTAGGATTTAGGGTTTAGGGTTTAGGGTTTAGGGTTTAGGGTTTAGGGTTTAGGATTTGGAATACCCTCAACTGCCCAAAACCCTACAACCCCAGGAACATCAAGTGCAGCTCTGTGGACCCTACTCCCCATCCAGAAAGCTCTAAACCCTAAGCTCTCCAAAGGGGCCCCAAAACTCACCCAAGGCGACGGGTATGTAGGCGCCAGAACCTCACCTATATTCCCACTCAAGTAGCGACAGCTTCCTTGTGTCGAAGCCCTATAAGTCCTAAACTCCTAAACCCCAGACGCAGTGCCAGACATCAACAACAAAAGGCACTTTCACACCTCGCGCTTCGAAAAAAGTGTGACGACTCCAGTCTAAGCCACAACGCTTAGGGTTTAGGGTTTAGTTGGGGTCTCTTCTGCAACCGTAAATTAGATCCCTAGCCTTTCTGGGTCTCATGGGCTACTTGCGTGCTCTTAAGGAACTTCAAAGTATGTTTCCATGATGCGGACGTAAAGTTAACAGCACAGCTTCCCTATTAATTTAAGGTCATGAACAATAGCCCGGTAGTTAAGTTCTCCATCCCACAGTTACTTGAACCGACGGACCCCTTAGTCAACAAGATACCCGTAAATTCATGGGTTCCCCTTATTTAAGGGGGGAACCTAGAGGGGGGGTAGTATAGAGGGGGGTAGTAGGGAACCCATGATAAAACAAGAAAATCCCTACATTGCCCTGGCACGGAAGAGCATGCGTGTTTTTTTTTTTTTTTTTTTGGGGGGGGTAGGGTTTAGGGTTTAGGGTTTTGGGTTTTGGGTTTTGGGTTTTGGGTTTTGGGTTTTGGGTTTTGGGCTTAGGGTTTAGGGTTTAGGGTTTAGGGTTTAGCCTGGGGGGCGAAGGGCTTTTGAGCAACTAGTAGAAACCCCAAGTCTAAGGTTGGAACCATGGGCCCCTAAACCCGAAACAACCCTAAACCCTAAACCCTAAACCCTAAACCCGAAACCCTGGACCCTAAACCCGAAACCCTAAACCCTAAACCCTAAACCCTAAACCCGGAACCCTTAGACTTGGAACCTTGGACCAAGCCCTCGACCAATTCCCAAGCTGCACGGCAATTTTCGGCTCGACAGCACGCAGCGAGGCCGTGCACCCGCTGTGAATCCGAGCCACTTCCCTCCGAACGGCTTCCACAGCACCACCCGACGAGCTTTCGGGCTTTTGTTGGGGTTTCGGGCGGGCGCCTGGGAACAAGAGCTCTGGACCCCAAAGTTGGGATGTTCTCCCTTGTGCGATCGGGGGCCCCATGTAGCAGGGTTTAGGGCTGAAGGTTCTTAGGCTACTGGGGAACGGCATCAAGGTGCACCAAGCCTTGCGTGTGTTTGGGTTTAGGGTTTAGGGCTTAGGGAACGTGAGCCTTTGTAAGCCCCTAAATGTTCTGGTTTTGAGGGTATTGTCAGAGTTTCCAGATATTTAAGTGTTGCGGGTTCTGAGATGCCCTTAACCCTGAACGGCCCTAGCCTGAGACGCCCCGAAGCCGAGATGTCACTAAACCCTAAACCCTAAACCCCAAACCCCAAACCCCAAGCCCTAAACCCTAAACCCTAAACCCCAAACCCTAAACCCCATTTGCTTGGGATGGCCAGGGCCCCCGTCAAGATGGTCTCCGAGAGGCACAGGGTTGCAGACTCGAAGTTGAGGCTCCCAGGTGATTTTCCCACGTTTTTGGTTTGTTTCTGTTTCTTGCCTCTGTTCTTCGTTGTTTCTATGATTGTCGCTATGTTATTATGTTCTTGTTCGCAGAGCGACCAATAGCCCGAACAAAAAAAGCACGTGGCTCCCCAACACCCTAGACTCCCACCCCGAACCTCCCACCACCCCTAGACCCCCACCACCCCCCACCTACCCCCACCCTAGACCCTAGCCCGCCCCCACCACCCCCAGACCCCCGCAAACCATGCTTAAGCCTGAAAGCCTGAAAGACCCATCTAAAGGCGATGGGCAAACCCCCCTCTTCGCCCCATCCCCTTCCAATTCCCGACCTTGGAGACAAGTACAAGATTCATGACGCACCTGCTGGCCAAATCTCCGAAAATGAGCCGTAGTTGATTTGTCCAGGTCCCGGATTCAGCGTTGCCGCGCTAAAGACGTCAAAGTGAACCTTCGATCCTCTTAGGTAATCAAGCTACCCTAAACCCTAAACCCTAAACCCTAAACCCTAAACCCTAAACCCTAAACCCTAAACCCTAAACCCTAAACCCTAAACCCTAAACCCTAAACCCTAAACCTAACCCTAAACCCTAAACCCTAAACCCTAAACCCTAAACCCTAAACCCTAAACCCTAAACCCTAAACCCTAAACCCTAAACCCAAACCCTAAACCCTGGGAATTGTCTGAGAACCTGGTAGTTGCAGCAGGACGTCGCTGATCCGTGAGGACGAGGACAATGTCGAGTTGCCCTGGCCCAAGAGGGTGGCGGGTTGTGAATTGTTTTATAAAAACAGTGAATTGTTTTTATAAAAACAATTCACAAGCTTTTATAAAAGCAATTCACAAGCAGGGTTTAGCTTCTGGGTTCCTCACTTGGTAGCCCAGGGGTCCCCTTACCTGTTTTTTTTTTTTTTTTGGGGTGATGGGTTCCCTTATAAGATAACCAACCCGAAAAGGGTGCCCTTGTGATAATATGGTTGCTGGGCTACCCAGTTCAGTACTCAGACTCAAACTCCCTGGCTTCTTCAAAAATGCGCTTGCAGACACGCGGGAGGACTCCAATATCCCCCTACTTTGCGAATCGTCCTCACATGGTACTAGGCATCGGTTGAAGAATAGCCCTGAACCCTAACTCCTTAACCCTAAATCCTCGCGAAAAGGCAGAATCATTGGAGTCTCCTGGGCAAGGGCTTACGGCTCAGGGCGCTTTCGGGTTTTTACTTTAGGGCTTTTTGTGGCAACTCTCACACCTTTCTAGGGTTTAGGATGTAGAGTTTAGGGTTTCGGGTTGATGGCCTTACAACCAGTAGGATGTTCGATTGGGGGTCAGGCGGTCTTTGCTTGCTTGCCCAATATGGACTCAGGAAAGAAACAGCATGGTAGCATGCTAGTTCTGAAGCTCTTAGGCCCTAAACCCTAAACCCTAGGCTTTCGTTTAGGATTCGAGACCCAGGTGCGGCATCGAGGAGACAGCTGTGCGACATGGATTCGTCCGGAAGGCGGTTCCTTCATGTCATGTGGTCAGTTCTCTAGATAACGGTTCCTTTTCTATGGGGGTCTAGGGTTTAGGGTTTAGGGATTAAGGACCCCCCCCCCCCCCCCCCCACCCCCAAAAAAAAAGGAACATTATTCAAAAAGTAGAGAGCGGTTTAGGGATTCGTGTTCTTTGAGACCATCTGAGGGTAGTTTCAAGGGCCCTTCATGTGGTCCGTAACCTCCTTAAAAGGGTTCTGATGTATGGACAACTTGTATGGGGTTTCTAAGGGGTGCAGAAGGGGTCCCCTTTCTAAGGGCGCATACTAAAGGACCATGAAACTACCCTTAGAGACCAGCTCTCGAAGACCGGTCTTTTTGGGTTTTCTGGTGTTTTGTGATCATGTGGATCAGAAATCTACCAGGACCGCCCGTGTGCGAACCCCAACACAGATACCCGTCACCCTGTGTGCCTTTCGGTAGCCTTCAGCCCCAATTGTTGCCCAACCCAACCCAATCCAACCCCAAAGAAAGCGCACGCGGCGTACGCCCACATTCACTGTCTCAGACTTTCAACTCTTCTGTGTGTTTGCGAGGTCCAGGGCTTAGGATCTAAGGTTCTGGTTTCAGTATTTCATAATTAGGCCTTTGGGCTTTGTGTTTAGCGA